GGATATTCTCACTGAGAGGTGGCAGCTCTACCAACTGCTCCACCGTGTCGCCCCTGCATAAAGCAGTCACGAATAAAAGTCCATCCTCCTTTAATTCCAGATTTATATATAATCAGGAAGTAAAACTTCTAAAATTGTTTAAAATAATGGAGGGGGAGATCGACAGATGGGTTGGTGCAGCGTCTGCAGTATTGTGGACTCTGTGCTGGTCCATTGTGGTGAAGAGGAGCAAACCTGTAAGACAAAGCTCTCTGTTTACTGGTCAGTCTACGTTCCTCCCCTCACCTCTGGTCCTGAACTCTGGTAGCGACTGAAAGAATGAGATCGTGGATCCAGGAGGTTGAAATGAGTTTCCTCTGCAGGAGCTGGACTCTCCCTCAGAGACAGGGTGAGAAGTTCAGTTATCAGTTCAAGTTCAGTTTTAAGTTCTACTTTGCCTTGGAGATAAATCAAGTGTCTCCATGTGAAGCACCGCTGACACTCTGAGTGATTCATTCTCTGTAAAAGTATTTAAAGACTTCAGCAGCTTGTTGCCTCCTTTTCACAGGTCAAGATGTGTTGCAACACAAACTGCTCTGGATGTCAACTCTGCACAGATGTTCTGACACGCGACACCTGATCAGTTTTTCTAAACAGAGTTCAACTGAAACAATCAGACTGTGTCACTATTGTCCCTTCAGACAGATAAGTTCTGACAAACCTCCTTTAGTCTCTTCGTCCAATCCGTTGCTCCTTTCTTCCCTCCGCCTGTTTTTTTTTTTCCTCCTCCTCCTCCTTCTGCTCCTCCTCCTCCTCCTCCTTCTCCTCCTCCTGCTCCTCCTCCATCTTTTCCATCTGAAACACACGAGATACGACCGACTGCAGATCTGAGTCCACCCAACAATCCTCTTCCTCCATAAAGTAGCGTGAACATCAACAAAGTGCAGTACATGTCACATTAAAAAACACTGAAAACATAAAACTAAAAAGAAAAACTAGTTAGAAAAGTTAAAACAACAAAAACATCAGTTTAAACAATAAAACAGAAGTAAAACAAGTGGTACGGCCATGTCCCCCTGGCTGAGGGAATTGAACAGGGAATGCAAGTAAACCTAAATGTTTTTGGTGCGAGCTATTCAAGCAGGGAGGAGTAGGCCATGTTGACATTCACACAGCCCCCCCTTTGGTGATGGAAAGGAAATATTAAAGCACCGTGGTCCACTGCATCACATCAAATGCAGCAGGTAGGACAGGCGGGACTAGGACCGACAGCATCAAAACGCGGGTGTGAAAGGTGAAACATCCACCTGCCCCCACCCCCATTTGTCCCACACTGGGCCCTTGAGCAAGGCCCTTAACCCCCACCATCTGCTCCCAAACAGGTCTCTCTTGAAAATGAGTCCTTGTGATTCAATGAGACTCCCTGGATAAAGGTTGAATATGTTAAAGGATTCTTCTAGGGCTCATGTTGGAGAATCAAAATTCAGAACCATCAGCTGTTCCACCCAGTGAAGGTTAACAAGTAAATCAGCTCAACTAAACCAAATGTTCAAGATCGTTAACGGGACTGGACCACTAATCTGAGCATTTCACTTAAGATGATGCTCTCCCAACATCACTATGCAGCAATCCCTCGTTTATCACGGGGATCCTGAAGCAGATTTAATATTCTAAACAATGTTTCTAAACTCTAAATACTCTAAAAGAGCACAAAATGTCATGATGTCATGTCTGTGCCTCCTCTGCTCTTTGCCACCAGCAAGCGCTCTTGGCCACGCCCACTTCTCCGTGCTGGACGGTGAACAGCTGATCAGCTGCAGGAGTAGGGGCGCAGGAGGTGCTCAATAATTTATTTAAATAAAAACTCCATGCCGATCGTGCGGCTCATCCATCAATCAGCCAGTTGTGCGTCATGTCCAATCTTATTTTGAAAAACTACAACAGAGCGAGTCAGCGATAAACGAACCACGAAGTAGCGAGGGACTACTTACTGTAACACCGGAGCAAGTGGCTCCTGCACATTTCCGAGAGTAAAAAGAAAAGATGCTAGGAGCTCTTTCTGTTATCCAGGTGGTGCTGAAACAGTCTTTCCCTGAACATCAGGTCAGAGGTTTCTTTAAATGTTTTAGGAGCTGGGTTAAGGTTCGTCTCTGGATTATTCCAGGGCCTTTATAGATGAGACTGATGAAATGAATAGTAATTAGTAAACTGGATTGATTTGCAAATATGCTTACTTTCAACCCCCTCCCTGTAGTGTTTAAACACATTTTTACATGTTATATCTTGAGCTGAAGTGTTGATGGTGCTTTGTATCTGAAATTAAATAAATAAATCAGGACACAAACTGTCCTGAAACGCACTGAATGACCAGCGTTTCTGCTCTTAGTGAATAATCCAGGAACACGTTAGTGCAGATCTAAATGATGCCTGACTGCACATGTACTTCATCCCAAAAAAACTTCATCTTTAATGCGTGAACATTAACTAATGTTCAACGTTTGGATCATGAGGCTTATTTTAACCAAACGGCAAGTAAATAAATAAATTGCTATGTATTGTCATTATACACTGCCTGGCCAAAAAAAGAGTTGCCACAAAAAAAAAAAAAAACACTAATATTTCGTTGGACCACCTTTATCTTTGATCACATGCGTTCTCAGCACTTGCACTTGTTCTAAGCACTTTGATAACAGTCTATCTGTTTTAAATTGTGCTCTATAAATAAATATGACTTGACTTGACTTCTCTCTGTGTCATTGTTTCAATAAACTTCTTCAACGTCACAAGATCTATTTCATTCAGTGTTGCATTAATGTTTCACCAAGATCTTTCATTGATGACGAGACACTGGTCATGATGGTGCATCACTTCACCTGCCTCTCTTCTGACTCTGATGCACCATCACTCTGGAACAGGGTCAGTCTGGACTCATCAGACCACATGACCTTCCATTGCTCCACAGTCCGATCTTTATGCTCCCTAACAATTTGAAGCCTTTTTTTCCAGTTAGCCTCACTGGTTAGTGGTTTTCTTAAGACTACACAGCTGTTCAGTCTCTTGAGTTCCTTCACATTGTGTGTGTGGAAATGTTCTTACTGTCTCTATGAACCACAGCCCTGAGCGCTGCTGGTGTTCTTCTTCCATTTGATTTCACCAAACGTTTAAATGATCGTCGATCACGATCATTCAGGATTTATTTCAGGCCACATTTCTTCCTGGAAGACGATGGGTCCCAACTGTCCTTCCAGTTTTTAATAATCGTTGGACAGTTCTTAACCCAGTTTTAGTAGTTTCTTCAATCTCCTGAGATGTTTTCTCCGCTTGATGCCAGTGATTTGACCCTTCTCAAACAGACGGACATCTTTTCACGACCACGCCATGAGTCTTTGACGTGGTTTAAGAATTGAGAAGCAACTCACTGCACCAGTTGGAGTTAAATAACTTGTTGCAGCTGAAACATAATCGTCCGTGCAGTGATTCTCCAACAGGAGGCTCGGACCCGTTTGATTAGTTAAATCCAGGTGGAGACTTTTTTTGGTGCAGTCAGTGTACGTTCCAACACAATGACTGAACGTGTCTGTTGCATTTCATCAATCACATGAGAGATGCGTTCAAGTGCAGCAGCAGGCAGCAGTTTTAGAGCCTGCGGAGCAGTTGGGGTACAGGCATGTTGCTCAGGGACACGTGACATATAGGCATGGCGGGGAATCAAACCTGTACCTTTTCAGTCTCAAGTTGGCTGCCCTACCTCTGCTCCACAGCTGCCCTATGCAGCCAAACAGTCAGAAAGTAGTGAAGCAGCAACACTCACCTTTGGGTTCAGTGGAAAAGAGTCGCTGCTGAACTGACAGACTCCGACATGAAGGGAAGTTCGCTGGAGTTCGACTGAAGAGCCAACAGTTCTACAAGACAACAGCAAGAGTTACAGAAAATACAGATCGGTCAAAACAAAAAGAAATGCGTCACAAATTTAAAACATATATACTTTTTAAATCCGAAAGCAGTGA